GATGTTGCTCCTTGCTGTGGATTGCTGATGTTCTGAATGATTAAGCTTATGTCGTGCATAGCGGATAAAAACGCCCCCCAGCGAGACCAGACGGGTTTCCAGTCTTTGTAGCTGCTCTAATCTAGAGCTGTCCACATTGTCACTGTGCAGAATGAACAGTCAAATCAGAACACAGAATACAGTCAAATGGTCTCTAATGTCGTTCATTGGGATTCTGATTCAGAACAGCTGTATGGGGGAGGGAAACGGCGCCCAGCAACACGCCTGTGAGGTGCCTTGACTGCATCTTGCTGCCATGCTGTCACAGTGACAGACAGTCATAGTCAGTCAGTCAAATTTAGTCCTGCGTATTAACAACACCAGCGTCATCAATACACCGTGCACCAGCAAGTATGAAAGCCATTTCTTAGAATTCAGTTCAATTCAATATCAGTTATATCTCTGTTATTGCGCCCACGAAACCTCATGCTGTCTGCCGGGAAAAGCGCCTACAGGCAACATCCACTTTGAGATGTGGAAGGGGAAATAAGATGAACCACGGAGAGCAGCGAGATCACAAAACGGCCATTAAGACATGGCTCCACCTCACATGCAGACAATCAGAGCAAAGGATGGAGGGACTCACGGAGACTTACGAGACGAGTGCATTACAGGTGTATTCGCACAGAGAGTATGAGCAAAAACATTGTTCAATAAATTGTGTTTCGTGGACATTAAAGCATGTAAACATATCCGTGAACCTGAAAATGAGAACGACATGTCCCCATTTCCTCACCGCCACGATCCACGTGGGCGTAGCTCCCAGATCATGCTTGTGAACATTCATCGGTTTGTGGAAAGACGGGTGACCCGTTTTCTTACCTTTGTGTGTATTTGTGACCTCTGACCTCTCCAGAATACTCACATGTGATTAAGCAGTCGTGTTCTCTCACACACACACACACACACACACAGGTTCCCTCAGCTGATCGTCCCCTCGCAGTGTTTGCGTTGGTTCATTGAGTTCTGAATCAACTGTTAGAAAAAGGCCGCAGTGCAACGAGGGCGGACAATTAGCCTAATGAAGAGCAGGAGAAAATCACACTCAGTGCTATGCTAACAGTTGCTCGGTGAATATTCATGTGCTGTTGGCTTTGCAGATGCATCTGAAGGCGGCGCTGAATACCAATCGCTGCATTTCCACCTGTGGCTCGTCTGCTCGCTCCGTGAAGATAACATCCTAATCAGCCTCATTGCTGTCAAGATTTTTGGAGCGCGCGTACGAGGTCCACATTCATTATGCCGCCCAGACCTTTTACAGCATGATGAAGACAAACGACCTCTGACCGACCGTCATTCAAACCGATTGCTGTCCAGAGGATGCTTGTATGTTGTATGTTTTCTATAGTACGTTGTATGTGATCTAGCAAATTCAAGAAGACTTTCGAAAAATCCCCTTAAATCTGTCAAGCATTAAACAGTACATTTGATTATAGAACGCTTTGAGGAGTTGATGCTTTTATCCTCAAAGTCAAAACTGCGCAACTGCTCTTATTCTTTTTTGAGTGATGAGTTTCTACTTAAAGGGAACCTTGCTGCGGATGATACGAAAAACACATTATTGTATTTCATCTTTTTTCGACACCTTGGAGGCATTGCAACAATCTTTAAAACAAATAACCGGTTGGAAAGAAAAAATGATGAGAACAGTATACTTTTGCCATAAAACTAAAGGAATATTGGGACTAAAGGGCTCCGTACGGCAGATACAGAGTCTGCTGATATTTCAATGTAGCTTTGTCCATAATAGCTCCACCTTTTACGTAACACAGTGATTGGTGATTACATGCATGGTCATATGCAAAATGTTGATCTGTACAGCTTTAGCACATTGAAGCTTTCATGTGGAATATTCACGTCTTTGATATTTACTGTACAGTCCTGCAATATGTTTTGTCACGTTTACTCCTCAGTTATTCAAAACTAGTATATGGGACTGATTGGATAAATATGTGGAAGTTGAATTGCTAGTAAAACATGATTTCCAAATAATTTGGGGCAAATTTAGCTTTAGTCTTTTTTTAGTATTTAACACGACTCCCATCTGTCCTCCCCACCTCCGTCCAAACAGCTCGTCCCACATGCACTTCTTCCTAGCAGAGAAAGAGACGGCCGCATCACCAGCCCGTTTACTGGGGAGAGCAGACTGCGGCTCAGGCCGGCCAGATGGAGGTGAGATTATCCTCCACCAGATGACATAATGGTACGGTGGCCCGTTGGCCCCGGGGACCAGCATAATTCAGCTGGAGAGCTGCACCTTAAAAAGCTTGTAGGTCAAGAGGGAGAGATGGGAGGAGCAGCGCAGCAGCAGCAGCATGATTGCGTGTTAATTAGATATATTTACTCCACTGATGACCGTTCTGCAATATTTTCCCTTATTAGTCACTTAAATCATATATGTTTAATAGCAACGACGGTGGTGTGTTGTCTAATACGTTTATACAGAGACAACATCGGGGACTGATCATAAGATGATCCGATCCAGAGCCATAAATTTGATGATTATGACTCTGAGGAAGTTTTGAGATGGATGCGGGCGAGTAGTTATTTCTCCAGGGGGAAAGTCAGGCTGCACCCAATAAGCAACAACAACATTCAATCAGCACCGGAGGACCAGGCCGTGACTCAACACTGTCATCTGCAGGCGCTTGGGCGTAAATCCTTCGGGAGGTGGCGAAAAAACAGGAAGTCACGCTCCTCTCGTGGGCTCGACAGCCATCTGGCTGCTATCGAGATCCCCGTCACCTGCTGTAAATACAACAGGAAGGTCACAAACGGGCAACTGGCTCGGGCTCAGCTTCCGCTGTTGCGTCCAGTCCGGCTGTGAACGCGGCGAATCGTCTCCTCGTCTCCTCGTCTCCTCGTCCTAATGATGTGCACCGCACACTCGGCTGTATCCAGCTGTGTACAATACAGAAATAATTCAAATTTCTGAGAGTAAAAGTGTCAAAACATTGTGGATGGGAGGCTGTGCAGCTGTTAGTCTGGCTCACATCAGCACGCTCTCACGGCAAACTCTGAAAGCATCTTGGCCCTCGTCAAATGATGAACTACAGAACCGGAGCAACAGGTGCAAGCGGCTCTTTTGACAGTGACAAATATTTGATAATCCTATTCATTGCATTTTCTTTCACAGATGCAGCGTTGTGGTTTGCTTTGCATACGGTGAAGTGGCCACTCTGGGTCTCTCTACCCTTAAAAAAAGAAAGCTAGAGTTGTTTAAAGGTAAACATGGAGTTTTGGAATGAAACTCTGTCGGCCCGAGAGGGAGAATGTGAGAATGTGAGATACCCGAGAGTGAATCCAGATGCAAGACATTGAAAACCCTACTGCACACTGGATGAAATGTGATATCACACACACACACACACACACACACACACATTCATGCACACAGGGTGCGTGAATGTCAGCAACCTGCTCTCTTCAATCATACCCACAACATCTTCAGCTGAGAAAATGCAAAACTGCAGAACCATTCGGAGCACTCGAGACGTGGACCACAGAGGGTGCGTGCATAACAAAAAACATGGCAAAATCTATGTGTGGCGCATACGAGCAATGTTCTCTTTAGAGAGAAACCCAAAAGCAGCCCTGTGTGTGACGCTTTTATTCAGTGAGAACGTAAGACATTAGACTACAGGTTGGTTGGATAATCCTGAAGGTAAACACACTCGGTCCGACGAGGGAGCAGCCTGTGAGAGCAGACCGCGGCCGAAATGCAAATTCTCTTCCTTGAACAAAAAGCACTCCATTTTCATTTTTGAATTATTCATTCCTCCTAAGTGGCTTATTGTGCATTTAAATAGTCCCCCTGTGTATGTTTTGCGTATGTACAGAAAACCCAGAAGGGAGAAGGAAAAAGGTCGTCGACCTTGTTTAAATTATGAGAGTTCTTAGATATATAAACTTGTGAATCTATATTTTGAGGAGCTGAGGGGCAGGGAACTGGGAGGCAATGCTCCTGCCATCTTATATACATATATATATATATATATATATAAAAAAACATACATATACATATATACATTTTTTTTCTTCTATATATATATATTTTTTTTTCTATATATATATATATATATATATACATATATATATATATATATATATATATATATATATATATATATATGTATATATAGAAAAAAATATATATATATAGAAGAAAAAAAATGTATATATATATATGTATATGTATGTTTTTTTTGGATGGTTTCCTGCAAAAACATCAGTTGGAGATTGTAGCCAACTGTCTGTCTTGAGGGGGAGTGGTTACAGATCATGACAAAAATACGTTAGAGGGAAGATGGTTAAAATAATCTGGTCTGAAATTTTAAGTGATAATGATCAGATTTTTTGGTGGGTTAGGGTTCAAATTTTCTCTGGTTGAACACACTGAAGTAAACAGAAGTTACATTCAGGGGAGCGAGGATGAAGAAGGTGGTTTTACTGAAAACGTACGCTGCATGTGTAAATAACTACGGCCTTGGTGAAAATAAAAAATAAAGAAGAAAAAACAAACAACTGAAGCTCATCAGGAATTTCTCAGCTGAAAAATGAGAAATCACTCAATACTATAACTAACCCATCCTGAACACGTCAGAGGGAGATGGTCTTCTACAGTACTTCTAACTATGGATTAAGGATGTAGAAATGTTGAGGGGAGAAGCAGGTTTGCTGTTGTGTGGATAATGCTGCCCTCACCTGACCAAACATTGGTGCAGAAAATGCCTGCATTCACTTTTCATTCAATTACAGATCTCGTCTTTCAGACCCAAGAAGTAGGAGAAATGACGATAGTGAGAGTCAAAGAAGGCATAATAGTATCTGTGACCAAAGCTGTCAGTTTCTTGTGAATAAGACAAAAAAAGACTCAGCTGCTCTTCAAAGGAGGTTTTACCACTTCTTACAATTATCTGCTTGACCACACAACGTGTTTTTTTATTAAAAAAAAGGCAGAACACTTTCAAAGACAACTTTAATGTGCATGAGAAGACATGAACCACAGACGATGACTCAAATGAAGATTTGAGAAAATGATGCAAACTATAGCAACAACCTATATAGACGTGTGTGTCTGCCTGGAAATATACAGTATCTCTGAGTGTTCACTCTCAACACCCAATCACATTTGCCTTTGTGCAAACTAGGTTTTCTTCCTGAAGGGTAGCAAAAGTCGAATGACTTTGAAGAGAATATAATAAAAGAATGCATGAGAAGCTGTAGCAACGCTGCTGATTTTACATCAGAGATTAGATCCACGCTGCGATAGGGAAATGACTCATTACTCGCTCAGTCCTGGGGAAAAGGAGATTTCTGGGTGGTGAAGTAAAATTAGCTACCGTGGTCTTCCGCAGAAGGTAAGTGGAGGTTCCCCACTGTCTTTGTGCAGGCCGGACGAAGATCATATCAAAACAGCTTTTGCTCAAATCAAGTTTCCACTGGCTTTTAATCAGTCTGCAGGGTTCGCTGGGGGTCGTTTATCATCACTCCTTAATATTAATAGAGAAGCATCCCCTGTTGGCGTGCAAATTAAATCTCCTCGGGTCTCCCTTGAGTTAACCATTAACAATTGCTAGGGTCCTTGAGTCATTATGTCCTTAAAAATCATTGGACCGCAGTAGGCCGCTCAAGGCTCAACATGGTCCGCAGGAGTCATTTTTTCCCCGGGCTCATTGACAGTCCTCTCCTTAAAAAGGTGTGTGAGGGACTGAGTGAGACAAAACACTCAAGTCTGCATATGCTCAAGTCGGAATGTAGTGAGGGCTGAAGACGTAAAAGAAAAAAAAAATCTTGGTGCCTTTTGGGGGAGCGTTTCTTTCAAACTGTTGATATTTCTTTTTGTTAGAAGACAGAAATGAGTGCAAAGACCCCATACAAGAGAGCGCATGGGTAAGCAACCAAAAGCTGCTGTCCGTCCATGGCCAATGCAGAGATGAAGATCTTGGAGGCTGAGAGACTGCACCAGCCGATGATTGCTGATGTAAGTATAATTCCCACCATGCCCCTAAAGAGGAAGAGAAGGAAGCAGGAGGTCACCTTTCACTCTTTTAGCATGTTAGACACAGTTAGCAGGAAGGCTGACTTTAAATCAGTTTTATTCAAAGTAAAACTCGTTACGAAAGTCCTCTCGAACACACATTGAAAGTTGATTCCATGAGCTTATCAAATCACACTGAAACTGAATCTACTAAGCAACCGCTGAGCATTTTAAAGATTATACATCAAAACTCAAACTGGGAAGTATAAAATACTGGACGGTGTCTAGAAGTAGACAAAAGCTGCGTCTTTTTCTTTTAATATCCATCCACGGTTTTCCTGTGTACTTACTGTAAAGATAAGATGACTCCAAAGCTGGAGAGGAGGATCATGGGGAGGAGGCAGTATCCCAGCACGCTGGCCACACAGCCGAAGGACACACCCGTCATGCTCATCAGGTTAAGCAGGCAGTATATAGCAAGGCAGCCGATGGCACTGATCCCGTACACGTAGCCAAACTGGATCTTACCCGACTGTTAACAGAGAGGGGCGGGGCAAATATATAAATCCACACAGGCAGATATAGATAGCACAAGATGGCCATGGTACGGTAATTATTTACAGTAGTGATGTTTTACTAATGTAGGTGCTCTGATCTATTTCCCCCCCCACGGTTAACCAAATGATTTACCAGGAGAAGCGTTGCCCCAAAGGCCAAACAGAAGACCATGGGACCAGCAAGATCGGTCTCGTTCATGATGCTGCCGTCTGCCGCCTTCATTGGGTGGAGCACCGTCAGAGTCTTCTGCCAGATGTGGTCAAAGTTGATTCCTAATTCTAAAAACAGAAAAACCCACGTTGTTACACAAACAAATGAGAGTTGGACGGGATATTCAAAACAGATATTGCTGGATTATGTAGAAAATGTTATAACGGTGTAGCGTTTATGCAACTGATTTGGCATGTAAGCACTAGGCTTGTACAGTTAAAAATGTGGACTGCCCCTCTTCTACAAAGGCTCACAGGTTTCAGTCAGCTCGTTGCACGAGGATGTAGACGGATATCTGATGTGACAAAGTGGACCGTCTTCTAAGAATAGCCTTGATGCAAGTCTTCCCCTTTCCAGGTCAAACTCATTTTAGTCGAAAGAGCTTTATTTTCCTCTGATCACCGCCACAGCTCGGCTGCAAACTCAGACATAGCTGGGCGGTGCCGCACATGTATACAAGCCCCAGGGACGGACACAATGAGAGCAATGGAGATGGAAGTCTAGGTCAGCGTGTTCTCATCTTTCTGAAACAAAGACATAATCTGGGAGCGAGAAACAGGAAGTGTTGAAGTATTGTACATGGAAGTCTGAATCAACGGATCGGAGTTGCCCGGCATCAGCATGTAGGCCAATGAAAAGTTTCTCCCGTTTAGAACTAGACGGAAAATACTGTCAATTTTGCAGTCTCATAGACGGGTATTCATTTGTATTCTGTCGAAACTCTCTCGCAGATATGAGATCCTCTTTCTCAGCAAGTGGCTGCAACTGTCGAGTGAAACTTTAATTTCACACCTTAAGAAAGGATCTAGATCCTTTGGGACCATGGGCGAGACGTGATCCTGCAGAACAGTAGGACTTTTTGCTCCAAATGACTCCAAGAGTCTAACAGCTGAAATCCACTTGCAGTTTGAGAAGCTGTGATGATGTCCAACTTAAATGTTGTATCATATATGACATCAGCAATTGAAAACAGCCTGAAAGGATAATAACTCACAAATAATATTAGCACAGTTAGCGACATAAACATTGCTAAATATGCCTAATTGTTGATATTAAACAGTCCCACTGTCAAATGTGTGCACTGCTGAAACCAAAGTGTCAAATAGAAGTTGTAGATTACAGGTTGTGTGCCTACCTTCTAGCAGCGGCGGCTCGTCATCAAAGCTGCTACTATACAAAGATTGTGACGGGGACGGGGTGTAGGTGTGTGTCGGCTGGAAGATTTGTCCTGTGTACGGCTGCTGGGGCTGCATTATCCCTGGGGGAGAGTAGCCCATGGGCTGGGAATAGTCATACTGACCATCATATTGCCTGAAAAAAAATTATGACATTAATAATAATAATAATGCTCAATAGTTCTCTTTGACCGAAAAGATTTTAAACAGCTTTTAACAATGCTTATTTCCACTTTCCATGGGTGTCATTTCAAATATGCCGCATTAGCATTTATTTATATCAGTAAAACAAAACTTGTCCTTCGCGTCAATCACAATACACTTAAAAGATAATAAGGTATTCAGCCAGGCTACTAATTGTCACGTTCGCAAGTTTTCAGCAGTCAGAATGTGGAACAAAAGTTAAAGAGGGCTTTCTTACTTGTATTGGTTCTCAGCGTTGCTGTAGCCTTGGTTTTGGTCATCTACACTGTAGCTGGACTGGTAAAAGTCTGTGTTCAAATTGTCAAACCCCGACATCTCTCACTCTGTTGGACACACGGAAACAGAACCACAACATATCAGCTAGGATGAGTATTTTCATCTACAGGGAGTCTCCAAACTTATCAAAAGTATTGGTATGTTGAAGATGGAGGCACTGTATCAAAAAGTAAAGAGAAGTCAAATGTAAATTATTAGTATTACGTTTTGGTACACATCTATCATCAAAACAACAATGACTTTGGGACAAGTTCACCAGCCTATTGGTCACATCATTAATGAATTAATACATGTCCAAGCACGAGGGAGTACAGTTCAACATCTTTTTATTGCATTATCCAAAAATAGCCCCTGGGCGACTGCTGCATTCTACTTTTTAAGACACTACTTTCGGTAAAACTAAGACAGGGAGATTAATACGGAGTCAAACATTTCTACATCCATAACTTAATTTTAATTACGCTAAATTTATGTAATAACATTAGCGTTACATAAGTTTTTCTGAAAACATTCCGTTCGTTATAACGTTAGTTAACGTTACATTATTGTCTCACACTGGAATAGAGTACGGTGGCGTTAAGTGATGAATAAAACCGTAAAAGGCTAATTTCTTCCAAACAATAACTTAAAGGCTTAGGGGCATTGCTAACAGGACTGTTAATAGTTAGAACATTACCGTTATCTTCATATGAATTGGACTAGCGTTAATATAACTATGAGCTACGTTAGCATCCAATGCTAACAGGACAGTAGCCATCCACAAAACAAAGACACAAATAACGTCAAGTTAGACATCGTTAGTTTATTGTGAGTCGACCTTTAGAATCAACTGTATTGGCTATGAGAAGGCTGGACAATTACAACTCATTTAAAGGAGAACTCGACAAAATATGCTGCTAATATAAAAACAAGCTAGCGGGCAGGCTCCGGGTGGCTAACGCAACGTTACCTGCTGCCAGTTGGTTGAATAATGCTAACGTTAGCTATAACCGCAGTGGAGACCAGGCATGCATAAACGCGCATTCCGTCACCAGTCGCGTTAATATCCCAATCAACTTTTCTTTCACAGTTTCTATAGCGAATGCTAATGCTTACCCGCCGTACCAGAGCACTGCCAACTTTGGCTGTGGTTGCTACGTGTCAGGATAACGGTGAATCTTCCGGTTTGCTACGTAGCCGACGGGAAGCCGTTAGGGACATTTGCAAATTGCTCTTTGCCTGAAAATATGGCGCTGTCCTAAAGGCGACTGCTGGTATTACATTGCATTACAAGTAAAACACATTATGTATTAAAATATATTTACAAGCTGCGCCAAAGTAAAGACAATGCATGAAGAATACACATCATCATATATTATAAACAATTCTCTATTTTCTTGTCTGATTTGCAAATTCAGTTTTCATACAAAAATAGGAAACATTATGGACGCAAGACTGTGAATTCCTAAGGTGAAAGGGATGTTGTTAAACACCTCAAATGTAAATGTATTATTTTTTACACCACAGCTAGGTAGGAAACCCTACTGTGTCCAAACGTATAGTCTGATAAAACCAGGGTGACCCTGGTTTTTATGCAAATAGAAACAGAGGGTAGAAGTTGATTTTAATGGAGCAAACGCTGGAACCCTGGCAAGAACAAAGGTAGTCTCTTTCATCTGGATGCAGAGGAGCAGATCAATCACTGCCAGTGCAGAACAACTTCACCGCTACGATGTGTGCAGGTAAATCCATCCTCTTTGATGATGACTGATGACATAAAATAATAAGTTGAGGACCCCAGTTCAGAGGAAATAGCGACGGTAGTCTCAGGTAGTTTGACCTTTAATGACAAGAATGATAGTAAGAAATCCCTGTTCCCTTCTCAGGATCTATTATAAAGTCCATATTAACTCAATTGGCGACAGCTCGACATCCTTCCTGAAGTTAGAGAATTCTTTACAAAACGAGAAATGGGAAAAATATTGCAAAAATTGAAAAAGGCATGGAGGAAAATCTTATTGACAGGAGACATTTTGAGCTTCTTCTCTGATTGAGTTATTGGTCCCACCCACACAACGCATAAAGAAGCCTTTGGTCAGTGCTGCACAAAGCAGTTGCCTCAGCAAGGCTACAAGATTTTCGAGGACATTTTCTTACCAGAACACTTTGTGCCCATCTGTCCGATTTTGCTCAAAGAGAGTTCGTATTAGAGGCAGTTTAAAGCTGAAAAGCATGCAAAGGCAACACATATTATAAACAAATTATTAATTGGGTGGATGAGAAATGACAAACAAACAATCCCTATAAATTAACAAGCCTTTCAACTATTCAGGCCTGACATGGATCGCTCCTCTGCCTCAAGAGGACCAAAATCAATTTGATGCACCAAATATGTCATTTCTACAGAAACACCCATGATTAATCATGTGCAGAAATTAGCCTCCTCACCCTATTGCTTCTCATCTTTCTTTAGACTTTTAATCATTTCTGAACTTAAAGAACATCTATTTCTATATAATTCATTTAATGAATGAAAAGTTCCAGAGGGTAATTGAATTTGGGGCATAGATTGCCGTATTCTGTCATAATTGGCTTTTTTAATAAAATCCCTGCCATAATCCCGCTGTAAATACCTCTGTGGATTAGAACTACTAGTTTCCCTACTCTTACGCAACTCTCGTCGCCAACCACCTACTGTGGCCTAAATTTAGATTGAGTATTATTGTTCTCCTTCTGCATTAAGCAAACTGAAAATGTGAACCCAAACACACACACACACACACACACACACACACACACACACACACACACACACACACACACACACACACACACACACACACACACACACACACACACCTCTATTTTTAGCAGAGAGGGATGGGCAAGATTAAATAATTCCTTTAATTCATCTAATTCAATTTCCTGCCAAACCATTGATACGACAGCTGCACAGATCATAAATTAGCAGGCATCTGGTACTTGCAGGGTGCTTTCACTGAAGCAGCTTTCTTCTCTCTGTGTGAGTGAGCTACACGATCACTAAAATAACAATCAGCAGATGAAGAGTGTGTGAAGTTTGTTTGTTCCAAAATGAGCCTTCCTCCCACTCGAGATTCAAGAGATTCTAACAAAATTATAGTCAATATGAAAATCTCATTTTGAAATCTGGTGACTGTACTGGCAATACTAAAGCATTTAAACATATAATATTAGGGGGCAATTGATTGAATGTAAGACTGTTTTGCTGAGAAATCAGAAAACATTTGTTCACCATCCAAACAAATGGATCTCTGGCGTCAACCTTAAATGCAAACAGCTATATCTCAGGATTTTTGCATCAAGAAGGTCAATAACATGACATTACAATGTCGAAATGGTGATTCTACACGCTATCAACATTAACAACCCCCAAAATGCCGTCAGGTAGAAACAAAACGAATGACTTCCTTGCTGTAGCTTTGACCCACTGAGCCAAAGCCAATTCATGTCCGCCGTGACTCGTCCCGCAGGGACCGCAGCAAAAGTTTGCAGCGAAAGTTTGCAGCAAACGTTGAGGGAACTGGCGACACGGCAAAGTGGCTGTTCGGCTGAGACGGATGAAGAAGGAGAGCCGGGGGTCACGCTGCTGTTTATGTGAGACTTATTTTAGGAAGCTCTAAATCTGTTTTGACATGTCGAACACTCGTGGGTTCACTGGTGCTTCCCCCGATGCCGCCCGGAAACTCCACAGTCTTAAAGCATCACTCCTGTATCAGTATGAGAACCGACACTTATTTAATGGTGCTGATGTTTTTAATTACATTACATTACATAACAGGTTATTTAGCTGGCGCTTTTATCCAAAGCGACTTTAGTGTGCACATTTGTCTAGTTCAAATGATGCCTCTATTGAGGTCAAATTGCTTTGATTCCAAAAAAAAAATACAAATGAGAAATATTTTGTTCCAATATGTAATATATGTAAACAAGCAGTTTTCACATTGGTAATGATTTAAAATTCACCAAAATACGCAAGTGCTCCCCACTTGTATTGCTATTATTCATAATAGGGATGTTAATATCACATTTTCATGTGCACTGTTATATGAATCTGTATTCAGTCACTCTCACGCTGTCAAGCTCTACATCTTACTTTTTGCATTATTTAACATCTAACTGAGACTAATGACATGACAGAGGTAAGAGTGGGTCCAAGCCTAAGAGGCAGGTATTTCTTTTGGGACTACAATGAATTGCTAAATTACACTATATGTGATCATCAGTCTGACCATTGAGTGACAAAAAATCCCCCCTCAGATGAACTCACAGGGTTTTATATTACCTCTTAATGATGTTTAACACATTCCAGAAGTTATGATAAAGTGCGGCAATTTCTTTTGTGATTTTCATCGACCTTACCAAACTGCCTTCTCCATCTCTGCCTCATCCTGGATTTCCCAAAATGACTTTTGAAAATCCTCTGAGAGCCGGTGTGATCTGGTTGCCTTTATCTGTGTTTTCTTCTCTTATAGCGGAGAATAAATGTTGGATTTCCCTCAATATGAAGACCGCTGTTCAAAGATCAGTCTGGATAGTTAAGTTATTGCTCTGATTCAGTAGCACCGACACCAGCTAGCAGCTTTGGGTTCAGATGAGTGAAAGATTTCCAGCCAATCAAACCCAAGCTCATCAATATCCTAGATTTCACACCATCCGCGAGAATTAGATATAACTAAGAAATGCAGGGAACCCTGAAAATACTAGATTAACATAATTTTTTTTCGGGTGGGGGGGGGTCTGTCACAAAAAAAGATACATTAACTGGCGACATGCACAGTTAGTGAGCTGTCATTCAATCTGAAAATGTAGCCTTGTCCTGTGGTACTTTTGTTTGGGGTGATTCCCCACTGGATGCTTTTCCCGATGAAAGTACTAATGACGGGAGTGAACCGAGACCCACCACGCATTCAATTATACATCATCTATGCATACTCACTATCTGTCGCCTTCACTTTCTCCACACCGACAGAAATTATTCATTCCCCTGCGCGTGCAGAGAGCTCCACGCACTTCACTCATCTCTTCGTATTGCGTCTGAGCTTGAGGATGCTGTTGAAGATAAAAGGACGCTCTGTGCGTATCCCTTCTATGAGTATATGTAAGGTGAGCATGTTCATGCCCCGTATGGCAGAAACACATTTGCATTTGAACACCCTTTGAGGTGTCACGAGTTGAAAACAGCTAACAGTATTAACTAAAGAGTAGAAATGGACACTATACCTTTAAATAGGTTTTCCAGTTCTAAGGGCTTTTGGAGATTATGCTCCATGAAGAGATTTTTCAAACATTGAGGACCTGTGGAAGCCACTCTTTAATCCCGAGTGGCAGAGGGTAAACCATCAAAAACCCCGGGGGAAGAAAGAGAAATGGGGAAAAAAAAAGAGGGGGGGGGGGGGGGGGGGGGGGCAGAAATACACATGAGAACGGGCTATGGTAGGAAGCTATCTACCCCTCCACAGCGTTCCCACGTGGCCTTTAGGCCGGCAGAGGGGGAGCAGGTGCTTAGCAACATCTCATCTGCATGGCTTTACCAAATCAGCAGGGTCAAGATCCCTTTGGAGCTTGGAGAACTCTTGTGCGCCCTCTCAGAGATGGAGAGAGTTGCACGGAGAAGGGCTGACTCGCTTATTGGAATAAAATAATAACCTCTTAAGTTTCCCGAGGATGGTCTTTCGCCATCGAGGGTTAATTCTGGCTGCCGACGGGAGGAGATCCGTTCGTCTGTTTTAAGTACAGCCTCTCTTCTTTTGGGAGAAAATTCAGATTGCTTGGATCCACACATCAAGGCCTAGAGACAACAAGTCACATGACAGTTTTTACCGGCCATCATCATCGCCACGCTCGCACAACACAAACGTTTTCTTTCCAACTAATACTGAAAAATATGCAGCACCTCAAGAATGCCATGAGACCCAAGTCAAAACAAATATATGCATATTAAGGGGAACAAGGATAACAATATCAACATTTTATATGCTGTTAAATGAATACTGAAAAACGTACACTGTATCTTATATCAATAAGGCTTTGTGACATGTTGCTTAAAAGCAAGCTGAGCAAATTACATTCCACCTTTAAGTAAGAGTTTGACGTCCAGTGAGTTGATCCACTTGAATGGTTACTGTGAAAATGCTCATCAAGGCTCATCTGGGTCGGATTCAGATACGAGTTCATATGCATTTACATACTCTGAGTTAATGAATG